TTCTCGGAGTGTAGGACTAAGATCTACAGGCCCGCAACATGCATTACAAAAGCTTGGGGGCACAGTGAATCATAGCTGCACCTCATCTATAGTGAAAGCAAGGCGCACCATCCGAGTCTTCACATGTGGCCTGGGATTGAATAGAACATCAAGTCATCAAGCTAATCTGAGGAAGTGTCCTTCTGCACCAAGGACTATTCTAAATGGCTCCGAGATTCAGCCTGGCTGTTGTACCATTTTCTCCAAACAGCTGCGCTAGAGCTGGGGCAAAGCGTTTGAGCACTGTTCGATGCACGGGCACTTTCCTCGGAGCACAAAGAGGCAAAAGGCTGAAACCAGCGTCTCATGTGCATCATCCCCAACCCATCGTCGTCCTGCCAAAGAATCTACAGCATTGGTTTGTCGGAGGAACTTGTGGTGGTGTCCCGTGCATTTTTACAAAGGCCCCCATTCGGGCCACAACTGAAACCCAAAACATAAAATCACATACAGAAAGGCAAAGAGCATGGGAGAGAGAGAGAGAGAGAGACAGAGAGAGAGAGAGAGAGACAGAGAGAGGGACAGAGAGAGAGACAGAGAGAGAGAGACAGAGAGAGAGAGAGAGAGAGACAGAGAGAGAGAGACAGAGAGAGAGACAGAGAGAGGGACAGAGAGAGAGACAGAGAGAGAGACAGAGAGAGAGAGAGAGAGAGACAGAGAGAGAGACAGAGAGAGAGAGAGAGAGAGACAAAGGTGGGTGAACCGTTTGGGAAGCAACGTCTTCGACAGTGTGAGAACTCCCGAGCTGCATCTCAGTTCAAGTTCAAGTGGCACTTGGTCTGTCTCCACAAAGAACTCGGCATCAGCAGATGCATCCTCTTCCAAAAGGGCTAACCTCATCAGCATCAGCCACAGTTCAGAAGTTTGAACTTGCTGCAGGAAAAATCTCTACTTTGGGCATATCCCATTACCAGCAACACTGGATGATGATCGCTGGTAAAGACCATTCCCAATGAAGTCATCATCTGTTGCCGACGGTTGCCGGTAATGGGATGCACCCTATCTCTACTTTATTCTGGCAGCTCGTTCAGAATCTGCCTGTTCATTTGTGGCATCCCTTCCTCGGCCATTTGACCAACTGATGAGACTTCGGCAGCCAACTTGGACCTAACTGAACTGACCTCACTGAGGGCATCACCGCGGCTCGATTTAACTGTTCACGGGACACCTTGAAGAGGCCATGATCCATATAGTGTTGCTCACCATCGTGCGCAGGGCCCTCCGACGACAAACGTGCTGAACCACTTCGCACACACACCAAAAAAAGGGTTGGTCATATAGATATGGGCCACAAAAGTTTCCCTCCATGCGCCTGCTGATAGGCCACGACTCCAGCTGTCTCCAGTGCATATACCACGCGGCCATTGCTTGACTGTGGGCCCAGAAGCAGTGGAGGGAGCTGTGACCATTGGGCCTGCTCAATGTTGTAGCCTCGGCTGCACAAGCAACAAGGTATCCAATGCCCACGTGGACAGTATGCTGATCCGTGCCAACTGCCAAGCAGCAGTAGCCATTCTGTGCCCCCTCATCGCCGCCAAATATGAAGATCTTTCCATCGAATGCCACGGCATGGTGTCCCGACATGGCCTTGCAATAGGAGCTATGGTTGAAATGACTGTTAACAGCAGACTCAGGCAGCTCCGAGTGCCTGACTGGTGGCTTACCAGGAGACATTTTGGCCACCTCCTCCCAGCGGTGCTCCTCAAGCGAAGCCAATAAAAAGTTGGCAGAACAACTGCTGGCTGGTGGGTATGAGTGAAACCTCTAACCCATTCGGAGCCTCGAGGTCAAAGCTGAAAAGGCTGTTGGTAGGCTCCACCCCACCATCCTAAAGCAAGCGTCTCAATATGTCTCAATGTCTCTGACTCCGTGTCCAATCGCTGGGGGACATGCCTCAGCAACGTAGCCCCCAAAGATCCAAGCGCAATCCCCATAAACCACACAGGACTGACCTGAGAGGCTCTGAGATCCCGGGTGATGCATTTTCTGGTGATCCCTTTTCTGAATCCCCTTGTGTGAATCATCCGCCGATCCGCTTCTTGCCATGTCTCAGGTCGAAGCCGAAGCGGCAGCCAGAATAGGGCTGGTGTGGATGGGTCGCTGGAAAGCTTCCCTGATACCTCTGCTCCACAGAAAGGACGACGAGCTGTTTGAAGGAAGCGCGTTGGAGGAACATCTTGAATGATTGCCCTGCTTCTCCGCTAGTTGCAGCCAAGCAGCTCAACTTCAGTCCAAACTCGCTCGTCCAAGCCTCAAGAAAGCACACGAACTGGTGCAACACGGCTGCCCACGAAAAGAAATTAAACAAAAAAGAAAACTGGTTGTATTGGAATGCTTGAAGCAATAACCGAAGGAGTCGCAAAAATCTTCCTGAACATGTCCGAACTCCTCTCTAACAAAAGAGCTCGTGCGATTGCCTCTCGCTTTATAGCAAGGCCTATCAGGGTCAGGTAGCTGAAGCAGTACACGAAGGAGCCGGTGGAATCACCCGGAAAGTGCTGAAGGCCACAAAGGAAAAACAAGCCTCATATGCGAGTCACAGGGCCGGTGGCAGCAGCGGGGAAGACCTGTGTCATGCCAAGAAGCTACTCTTATAAGGTGCAAGGCTAAAGCGGTGTCGCTTCTTTGGCGCAATGCCTGCCTCTACCAATTTGGCCCGGGCCTTCCAGCTTTGTGACCCATGCACATGTTCAATCCATGTCCGAGTCCCTTGCACCTTCTGTACATGTGAACTTGGATGGGTGCAAAACACAGCTTACTTGCGGCATCTAGCCAAAGCATACATTCTCATACATTATGAATCTAAATTGCAGGCAGCGTTTTGCAGACGCTCGGTGGGCAAGCGAATATGTAGCGCAACACTGATGTTCGTGCGGGCATATGCGGACATTGCATTGCTGCATCTTGCCTTGTCGTTGAAGTTTTGAGACGACAAAGGCTCCAGTGCTGGGTCACTGTCCCGGGCTGCATCCATGCTGTAAACCTGCGGTAGCACTGGATGACATCGCGATTTCAATGATTTGGAGAGCTTCTGACATCTCATTACATCTTGCATCACCAGCTGCCTACGGAGACACGCTTCCAAACCATTCCAGCCCTTTTTACCCAACACACCACTGTTGGCAAAAGAGCACAGTGTCTAGTTGCAGTCGTGCATGGTGCAATGAATTCTGGATATGAACAACATGCGGATCAGGTTGCTTCGTTCAGAACATGCGCACATGTGTGCTACTCCTTGCCTCATAGCGATGATCAGACAACCAATGAAGCGGGCAATGCAGGATGCACACCTTTAAAAGCATACAGCATACGAAAACAAATCAAATCCAAGCATCTTGAATGCCAAAGAAACCCGCACAAAACATGTTTTGAGCATTCCCTCCTTTTCCGGATTTGCCGGCGATTGCACTGCCGCATGTACGGTGATCAAAGGCAGCCCTTCGACCTGGCAAACTAGCGCGACTGAATCTCCATTTGCAATCCCAGACTGAAGCTAACTAACTGCAGGCTGAACCCAACTATCCTGATGCTCCTATGAAAGCCCCCTGAACAACCACGCCTCACCCCAGCTTTTCTTCGATGCACTGAATCGGCGGAACTGTGATGCACCGCCGGCACATTCAAAGACCAGCAAATCACCATCCTGGGGATGACGACACATCGCTCGTACAGGCTCCCAAACGAAGTAAATCGACAAACAATCTCCCGACTGCAAGGCGAGAAGGGGAACTCAGAACATTCTGAGGGTGATTGCTGTTCGAGACCGGCTGAGGAAGTTACTGTTGAGGCTATAAGCGGCATACACGCCAAGTGAGTGAGTGGGCTGGCCCATTTGGCTGGGATAGGCGCTGGAGTCGGTGATGGTGATGTTGTTGTGCTGGAGGTTGTTGCAAAATGAATCTAAAGTGTGACCTCAAAGCGAGTGTAAGTGTAAGCCGCAGCGCTCGCCACCGGAAGCACCGCAGGATATGGCTTTTGCCACAATCTTGAAGGAGGTATTGAAGACGAGAGGTTCAATCATGGAAAGGTAGACAACCGTAGCTTGTGTAGAAATTGGTAGTTGTCACATACACATAGAATAGGAATATAAATAAACATTCTTGCTTTTATAAGGCCATAGATACATACTGAATCATATTGATGCGTACCGTAATGTAAATATATATATATGTATAACTGGACTCGAGATGAAAGGAGCTGGCAAAGACAACAGAGGGACAGGAGACAGACGAAGCGACTGCCGTGGGCACTTGTGACACAAAATAAGCCTATGGCGTGATTCGACACACACTGTTGTACATATTGGGAAGTCTGCTGGGAGTTTTTGGGTGCTGGGCGACAGCCCCAGCCCGTTCATCCAAGAATATCAATCGCGCCTTGACTGGCACGATCTCATACCATCTGGTGGCACTAGCTTCTGCTCCCCGTGCCTCTGGCAAATCCTCCTGCAATGTTGTAAGCAAAAGAAACTTCAAGCCCAGTGAGGAATAAAAGAACTTGGACAAGACAAGGACGCACCGAACGCAGCCTCCAAGACCAAGTCCCAGAAGAGTATGGCCGGCGCAGCCATTGCCACATCATTGCACACAGCACTGATGAGATTGAAATTGAAATTGCAAACACTCGCTCCACTTGTGACACGACAGGTAACAATTGGCGTACTTATATAAGCATGGGTAACGACTACCGTAACCGCACGACCAGAGAATGTGTTGCCCGGATTTGTCTTTTGCAAAGCTCTGCCGCTGCCGCCCCAAACAAGATCCAAACTTGATCGCGGCTGTCACTGCGTCTTGTGTGAGCACGTGTGCATTGTGAGGTGCAAGTGACGGTAATACAAATGCTACCACATGGCTGAGCATAAGAAAACATGTAGAAATAGCACGACTTCCGACAAACCCAGTATGGTAGAGATGCATGACAATTCTTCTGGCAAGCCCACAGAACGACACGTCGCTCGCCTGTCGAGCCAGTCCCCCATATCCCCTCCGGCAGCATGGGGCGAGATGATAAAGAAGTGGGATGAGTCCTCCAAAATGTCCTTGAACAGCTTGCAAGAGTGATCTTCATATACAAAATAGCAATATATATCTATATGCATCAGCCAGCCACCAGACGCAGCCAGGAGGAGTTCTCTTCAGAACCAAGACTCTGTTACAGGCAACAGCATGGGATGCTGAATCTCTGTAAGGCGGCGGAGCCGATCACCTGTCCCATGCACATCCATGAGCCGTGTCTTTTCCACAGCTTTGCACCTCGGTGAAAACAGCCTCTGGAGACCGTAAGAAGCAGCAGAGTGGTAGTTCTCAAAAGTCACTTTAAAAGTCTTCCGCTTCATCAAACACTCAGAAGCAAGGCACGTCTTCAGTGTCCCGGACCGGCGATCCTGCTCGGCGGAAAGCCAGCACAATACACTGATCTGCCAGACACTCCCCAAATTGCCAAATGGCCCACTCCATGTTTCCTGCCTTGATGACCTGGACAGCGCCAAAGGCCCAAAGACCAAGGTCATACTCAAAGGTGTAGTATTGCTGCCTGCAAATAGAGGCAAGACGGCAAAAAGCATGACTGAAGTTGATGGAGATTCAAGAGTCTCACAGTGTCACATGCGCACATGCACGTGCACGGCGTGTTATATTGTATAGTCTCAGAATCAGCGCTGGCTGAATGCTCTCTTGAGAATTCGCGCCAGGGAGACAGAACGAAGCTGCGCACACCCACCGCCAAGGTGTTTGCCACCGGCCTCGGACAGCGCAATCGACTGGCTCGACACTGAGTCACCCTTGTGTTAAACCCACATGCCGTCCAATACCATCTGCATATATATATATATATTATCTATATATATATATTAATATTACCTGGTCTGCCTTTTGTCACGTCATGTGGCCCAGTGAGTTTGCCGATGCTGGATTCCTTCAGTGAAAGTAAAGGACACCACAAATTCCGACGGATACGATTTACATAAAGTGCTGCACAATCTGGCTCGCAAACTTTCCACCCTGTTCACACCTTCAACGCGTGAATGAAGAGCTTTCCCTGCGTATCAACATCACCAGGCAGCTAGCCTTATCCAAGGGTCCTTTGCGTCTGGTCATGCTGTGAGAAAGAGAGGATAAATTATCGAATTCAATTGACAAAACATATCCGCACCGTTTGCAGAAAAAGGTTTCAAAAGGCTTGAGACAACATGCTCAGTCTCCCAGGCCACATGACATGGAGACCTGCCACTTGATTCTTCCTAGCTAAGCTGCAAGAGTGCAGAGGTGGGCGACGGCATGGGATGAAGTGGAGGAAAATAAGGGATCCTGCGACTCTTATATTCAATGCTGTGATAGATGAATGCATAGAAACAAAATCGCCACAAGCTAGCAGTCTTGCAGCCACTCAGCTCAGAAAACCCCTCGTGAGAACTGATGTTGAAGTTATGCCCTCTTGGCAGTTGAAAGCGACTATGCTGCTGCAGCTGGCAAGTGTTCAGACCTTGATCCAAGCTTCTAGGAGATCAACAAGAGGTACCACGACTCAAATCATTGGAATCCAGTACAAATCATAGAGCCCGCGCTGGCAGCACATTCATTGAGCTCAAGCTTTCAATAGCTGCTTTTTTTCACGCTAAGGCGGCAAGTATTCAGGAGGACTGACCCTCCAAGCGTGCTCTCCGACCTCCTCTGAGGATGCAAACGCCCAATTCACTCCGTCCAAGCTCACGGGCTCCACCTGGAAGTGCTTTGCATGTTTTGCGACCCTTTGAGACCCTTTGAGGCCCTTCGGACCCTGTTGAGTCTCGCCAGTGAAAACTCTGCCTGCTCCATCTCTGCCTCTTCATCCGCATCAAAGGTTCCGTCCGAAGTCTGGATCAGAGATTGCAAGTAAATCCAACCTCAGTTGTGTGAATGTTTGAGCATAGTTGCTCGTGGGGCAGCAGAAGACGTTCTCAGAAGCAGGCCGTGGGGACCACTGGACGGCTCGTAGACAACCTGCACAGCCAGAACGAGAGCCTCAGAGCAAAAGGAATGCCCGTGGTCCACGAAGAGCTCAGTGTCATGCTTTACTGTTTCTGATAGGGGGCCGCTCGGTTGCCCTTTCAACTTGATGTTTTTTCTTGTCATGGGCTGCATGGGCAATGACCTCTCTTGTGGTCAATCCAACACATCATCCATGGATTCCTCGGGCTGGGACACCTCAAAGGAGGACAGTTGCATGGTGCTCATCTTGGGGAAGGGTGAGAGGACCTGAAAAGGGCTGAAAGCCAAAAGGTGCTGGATCACATGGTTCACCTTGGTGGTGATGCCGATTCATCACCCTCGACAAACACAGGAGAGTCCTGGGTTGGCCTTCACACCCACTGCGGAAAAGTAGCAACTTGCCAAGGCTCACCCTGCGCATTCCGCCAATACACTATGTCGCCTTCCTATGCCCAAAACTGCACATTCACGACATGACATAAAGAAAATTCAGCTTCGAAAGGACATGCCGTCCTGTGCAAGCTCTTGCCCTCCTTCCACCTCCTCCTCCCACTTCTTCCACTTCTCACGTCCCTCTTTCAAACGTTTCCCTGAGACAAATTGAAGAGCAATGTCATGCTAAAGTGGAAGTGCATGGAAGTGCCAATAGAAAACCCTTGTGGGCCCGCAAGTGTCTCGCAGCCCCAGGATCGAAAGTGATCCACCTGCCTTCGTGCCTTAACCTGTGGGGCTTGGAGTCATGAATCTTACCCATCAAGTAACTCCCCAGACTACCAGGATAGAAAATGCCGACAGTCAAGCAAAAACCTGTTCGAACTTGAGAAACTGGAAACGGTTTCCAAGACCCACCTCTTTCTTGCAATCCTCGTCTCAAGGATCGGCGAAGAAAGGTGTATGCTTCCAGCAGCTGGCGGAAAGCCTCAGTTGCACATACAGTATATGAATGAAACACTTCCCCCCAAGCCCTGCATCTAGGAAAAAGTTTGCTTGAATGGTCGTTGCCGTTGTTGCCACTTCCTGTGGTACAAGGCTCCAACCTCCGCGCTGCCACCACGGTCTGGATGCATCTCTAGCGCCTGTCGGCGGAAAGCCTGCTGAAGCTCCCGCAGCTCTGGGCTGCTTTGGCCCTTTAGCCCGAGCATCTCCAGAGCACCACCCTGGCATCTTGTTCGCGTACCCTAGCTGAAACCTCATCAAATGCATGCTAAGGTATATATAGAGCCATCAAAAACTAAAATTACCTAACCCAACAGGACAACCGTCAACCAAATTGCTGGAAATGACCGCAGGCTGCGTCATAAAGTTTTTTCTCGACATACTCTTGTTACCATACGGTGCCTCGGACAAACTCCTTAAGCAAAATCCTCTTTGGCTCCTGCACAAGGTGGAAGGGACAGGCCCTCCAAAGTTATGAGGTGTTACAGTATATACCAGCACAATCTCCTGATATGGAATCCCAACCGAACGAATGCAACGTCCATCAAGGCAGAAATCAGGATCACAAGGGATAAAACCTCTTTCGCGCCAGCCATTGCAGCCAAGGCAATCAATCAAGGGGCGCAACCGTTATGACTATGACTATGAATGTCTTCCTGCAATGTATGGGATAACGTAACTACACAAAAGGTCGGTCAGTCAGTGGCCTTTGGGTCGGGGGGAATTTATATAGTCTGTAGTGCAAAATGCACGTGCGCAAAACTACCACCACTGAAAACTACACCATCCCAAATCAAGAAACAACATCATTAGAATATTCAGGGCTAGTCTGAATTTCTAGTTTTGAGATGCACCCACACTCAGGTTTCATTGGTTCAATTATGTACCTTAATTGGTTTCCACATGTTTCGAGCATGATACGCTGATAACACACCATGACTTCCTTTGCGTCATATTGTGCGCGGCTACTTTGTTATTTTCATGATTTTTTGTTCAGTCAAAAAAGGATTTGAGTTGTGTCCCTGAAGCTGGAACGCCGGCCGCACTTGGATAAGGGACGCCTCAGCACTTGAATCACTACACCCAGATCGTTTCAGACCTGCTTACAATTCTTCTCACAAAACTATGACTTTATGTATTGTATACATGCGTGTCAGTGGAACGTTGCAAAGTGCTTTGACATTTGAAAGGCTTCTTTGTTTGATTCGCCTCCTTGAAATCTCAGAAGCAAATGTTCGGTTCTACTTGGGAGTGTTTCAAGAATTTTCTTCACGAATTGCATGCCAACCGTAAACCAGACCAGACAATGCAAACATGATAGGGTTGCCGAGTCATGCTTGGCCCAACCCAACCGGACAAAAGTTCGCACCATTTTCATTGGGAGCGCGAGCGCCGTCAACTTAGCTCGCTGGGAAGCAACCAAGCACAATCGAAGAGAAGAAACTGGAGAGGCAGTCAGCACAGGGAAAAAAGCAGGCCAGAACTGTTGAGATTCAGAAGCTACCTTTCCGAAAGAAGAAAGCGACTTATCCAGGAGCTGTAAGAGATCCGGCCATGGTCGTCCTGGGTATGACATCAGAAGGCCCGCCGTGTCGCCTGGGCAGAGGTGTCCAAGCGTTCTAAATCTGCCACGAAGAAGGGTCCAGTCAGTGGTGACGTCGTCGTGCCGAACAATTCGGCACTAGTGGCCGTTGGGTTCTGTTCCTGCAGCAGCGGTGAATACTAGTTGAAGGGGAAAGAAAGCCAAACGGCAACAAGCCGCTTCAAAAGTTTGCCTTATTGTTTGTCAATACGGCTCCAAGGGTGATAAGCCCAAGGAACCTCAGTGGCAAAAGTGCAAAGACTTGGGCCAACCATGTGTTTTCAAACCCTTGCTCCCAATGCCTACAGCAGGAAGCCCAAGGGATGGTTGGACGGCAACGGTGTTTGTTAAGAGCGTCCAGACTGCCGTGCAGAAAAAACCCAGCGACCTGCTTGATATACTGTAAAAGAAAGACAAATTTAACGTGGAATGAAAAAGATGTGGAAGCCATTGCTACTAGTAACAAGAAGCTACTAGTACAGTAACCAAGGGCATTGCTACTAGTAGCTCCTGCCCTTACGACTAGTAACAAGAGGACACTACTACTAGTAGCAAAGGGTCACTGAAGACAAGCTGATGTCTAGAGTCTAGTGGGCTGCTATGGCAATGAGTCACCCCAAACTTGGCGACACGCCCCAAACAGCCGTGTGTTTGCTTTAATGCTCTTGAATTTTGCGATTTTTTAGAAACGGGTTTTGAGAACAAGTTACGCTAAGCTCCCACACTTTGACGCAATTCTTCTCGGACTCTTTGATTGATTGGTCATCACGCCTTGCCTCTGGATTTTTGTGCCTGTCTTCACTTGTAGCAGCACTAGGACAGCTACTACAAGTATGTCGGTGCAGTCATTGATACACTCTGCCCCAGAATCTACTATTTCCACCAGCCTTGCTGTTTCATTCCATCTGGGGGAGAAATACGAAGTTGAGTTCGAAAACTTCCGCGTATATATTCGATGACAACTTCTGTATCTCCTGTGCAACCGATGACAGTCCCAGCGAACTGGATGTCAACTTCTGTGACATCGATGACAGGTCCCATGAAGTCGATGGCAACTTCTGTGAAATCAAAGATGAGACTCCGTGCTGCTGCGAGTTACCCCCACCCACCCACCCCAATTGAATAATATGTCCAATTGATGCCAACTCCTGTTGAGTTGGATGACAACTGTTGTGCACCAAATGACGACTTCCCCATGCTCTTTCCAGGGGCCCTGCGGGCATCTGGAAAGACCGTAAATACCACACAAAGCGCAAGAACTGCTGAAAAAGAGAAACGAAAAAGGCGGTGCAGTACGTGAAATTTTTCACTATGCCACTTGAGACAGGGAAACACGATGAAACACGAATGGTAGAGAGTCACCAGGAATAAATCAAAGCCGCGAGGCCTGTGTAACGTGATTTGTAAAAGCTGCGTGCCAAAATTGTGCCGTGCGGTCGTATGTCGCATGCGCGCCCCACATAAGAGTGACCGGGGTTGCTACAACATATGGTGTGGTGTGGCGCACGTGGATGCTTGTCAACACTGGTGTATGTAAGAGCTGTGGTGCGCAAGAGCTGCCTGGTGCCAAAACTGTGCTGCGCAAATGCGGTCGTATGTCACATGCACGCTACGCATAAGAGTGGCCCTGGGTCGCGAGGAGAGGTTGCTACAACATGTGGTGTGGTGAGGTTTGTCAACATGCATTTGCGTAGAGGCTGTGTTGCGTCAACGCCGTTTGTGTAGAGCATGAGGGGGGGGTCACCAAAATGGTTGATTTATCAATAGTTGATCAACATTATATCATTATGTATCAATATTTGGTCCCGAGCAGGCTGTTCAAGCTATATACCCGTTTGCTTCGCAAAGCAAACTCAAGGTAGCCCTTAGGCTACCTTTCGTTATCCGAGATATCAACGGCCAGGTCAAATCTACCCACCATGGGCCAAGGTTGACGCAAGGAAACTACCCTAAGGGAACAAGGTTACACCCCCCAGGCCAGCACTCACAGTCCCTAACCGCCTGTGACACCTGCCATAAAAACCATCCGTGATGAATCCTACTTAGTTGCTCGCAAGCATTCTGCATTGCATTGCAACACAACGCACTGTACTTGCAAGCTGGACCTACAAAGGCCAAGGTCTGCACAATGTCTTCGGCTATCTATGCATCTATAGATATATATATGTATATACAGTATATAAATTAATCTATATTGATATTAATGTGTGTATGCGTTGATGTCAATGTTGTTTTCACTGCGAAGCGAGGATGTGTGGAGGCCGGTCACAAGCACACTTTTCTTGGCCACTATGCAAACGTGCAATGGCATCCCCAATGGGCAGCTACGATCGACGAAATACCACAAGGCTCTGAGACAGTGCAAATCCTAATCGAGAAGTCTGAGCAGACAAAGCAGGTCAACATACAAGACCGCAAAGAAAACTGTCATTTCCGAATATATAAGACTACGACTAAAACACGCTTCAAAGAAATGTCTGCTCTGACCTAAAACCTGACAGACTCCACGGAGCGCAGCAGTGTCGACTGCTCTTTGGGGCTGATCCAAACACGAGGCTTGATCTCAAGCTCCACATCCTGAGCAGAAAACCGCTGAAGCCAAAAAAATGAAAAAAGGCTCTGTGGCATCAGGTCATGATACAGTGCGGCTGGCAGAGTTTGGATTTATATACTAGAATATATCTAATGTGGCCTCAACCAAAACACACTCCTGCTGTTGACTCTGCCCAACCTAGCAAACGCAGCCCGCACCATCGACAAGAATCACCCTAAATAACCTCAGAGTATGGCAAAAAACGATGGATTCGCAAGCGTTTGATGATTTTACCACCTGTAGGGACCAAGTTCTGGGAATTGCCCTTCTGTCACCAACCGTCGCACCCAACACACATCCTTTTGCTGCAAAAAGTCCTGTCCTACTGGCAAAGCTGTTGCAAACTCCCTGTCAGCAACAAAAAGGACACGGGAGTCATGCCTTAGGTGATTCCCCCTGCCGTGCATTGGGAGAAAGTGCCAGGCATGCAATTATGCGTTGCCCGGTGCAGCCAGGAATCTCCATGGTCGTTCAGATCCACAATCACGGTCGGCAGCCAGCGATGATGTGTCCGCGAGTTGTACAAGACCCTCCTCAGAGGTCAAGGTTCCACATGCTGCCATGGGAAAGCTTGGCCAAATATGTTTATGATACGTTGCCCAAACTTTGGTTTGCCCCTCTACTGGCGAAAAGTCCTGGTACATGGCGGCTCGTGCTACTAGATGTACTAAATGTTCAAAAATACTATTCGTCAATCCTAATCCTGTTGGTGTGTAGTGCATTCGCTGTCAAACAACCTTGTTTTGGCAGAGTCTCATTCCAATCGCGAATCCAGTTGCTTGAATGTCTGATGGCACCAAGTGCACCTGACAGATTGCAGGAACTCCATTTGAGCTTCGGAGTCTTTGGCAACTCTGGTAGTTGTCATGGCCGGCCGCACTGACGTTCTCAAAGCATGACCTTGCCTCCTCCATGATCCCGGCAGACTGGTTGCAACAAGGTGCCTCCGCATCGCATCTATGGACATGCCAATTCCAAATGTGCATGTTGCACGAATCGATTGATGTGCTGAGGGCCCTGCAAAGAAACTGGGTGCTCTAAACTCAAACCAGCTTGTAACACTTTGGTACAAGCTTCTCCAAGTAGACGAATCATTGCCCAACAAATCCTGACAGAAGCCAGTAGCAAACAGGCAGGTAAGCAAGGCAAATATGCGTACAAATTTGTAACCTCAGATTGCCACTGTGATGGATCCAAATTAAACATTGGCCTCGGCAGACTGCACCTGGGTGGCGTACATTGCCTTTAGGAACTTTCGCAGCCGTGTCAAGGCTGGAGACAGAGATACCTCAAGAAGCTCAGACTGCAAGGCTACAGCTTAACCAGCGATTGCAAAATCCAAGGCATAACTGAAACATACTGAAGCGTGGCCGGGTTGCGTCGTTGGAGGACCGCATCACCCAAGGATTTTGGCAAGCTTCTTTTGCAGCCAAGCGCTCCGTTGGCTGCCTCTGAAACATCAAGAACACAAAAGGTATGATGTGGCTGTCTGGCTTCCTCTGAAACGTATGGCACCAAAAGAGCCAAGTTGCATCTTTAGCAGCCCTCGAATCAGTGTTTTGGCTTCTTCGGAGACACTCCCCCAGTCCTGTTTCGACTGGACGTGGTGCTAAAGAAAAAATGTCAGACCATGCAAGCGATGCAAAGCTGCAGCTGGTTGGAACAAAGCTCACAGGAGGCTCGTTTGATCTCAAGCCTGCTCTGGGAAGGCGAAGTTGCCACGCCGGATGGTCATCTCCGTCTTCTGAGGATCAAACTCATGCCAGAAAGGAGGGTAGCCACAAAGCCTGGCACAGTTGAGAAGCTCCCAGCTGAGTGAACAAACTAGACAGAGCGCAACTCTCCAAAACACCTGCTCCACTGCTCAGCGCAACAAAGACTTGCAGGTCGAGCTGCAATAAATACATGATGACCCCACAGCTCCACATATCAACGGCCAAGTCATACCGACCAGTCAGCACCTCCCACGATGCTGCGGAAGCACAGTCACAAGGAGTTACAGTAGCCAAAGCACGCTGCCACGAGACCACCGGTACCATCCTATGAAAGCACCTGTGGTGCCATGTACGGCAAAGTTCCTGCAACGCCCTGGAGCCCAGAAGTGCAAACGGCGGCCAAGCCAAAGTCCGCCACCTGGTGCGTTCACCGGTCCAAGGTCTTGGTGCGTTCTGGGTGCCACGGAAGAATCGCCACTTGGCAAAAAGACTCAAGTTGTGCAATCACACTATCTATCACATTTACGACCCAGTCCACGCTTGATACACCACACATATGAGGCAAAAATAACAAGAACCCGCCTTCAGCACATTATCCTGGATGCGGCACCGATGCAATAACAGAAGGTTCTCAGGCTTGAGGTCCCGATGGCAAACGTTGCAGCTATGCAAGAATGCCACTGCTGCAAAAACCTCTCCACTTTGTGATTCGCATCCGGCCAAGAGAGAGTGGTTCAGAATGGTTCAGACATGATTGTGCAGTATATAAACACTACGAAAAGTGTGCTCAGGAGAACACGTCTTTACCACAAAAATTGAGTTGAAGCCTTCCAGATGATTGAAGATTAGGAATTAGGAATGAATGCCGCGTCTCGAGGGAAAGAAAACGAGGGTGGGGTGAGCAGTGGTTAAGCTAGGCCAAAGGAAGGCGGGCTTCTGAAAATTCTGCGGGTTTTTCACATAATACTGAAAGTCCTCTCTCTGGTGCAGTGCCGTAATTAATTCTTATGCCAACTGAGAAAAAATCTAAAAGCCCAGACAGTAGCCAGCCTGACGCATGACCAGTGCTACCTGGAATTCAGTGTGGTTCCCCTGTTCCAGGATAAATGCCGCCTCACAAACGTCATGTTCTCCCAAGTGTGTGGCGATCCCAAATGCACTTCCACAGTCTGACCAATGGTAGGGAAACAATTGTCATTGAGGCAACTTGATTCATAGGGTAGAATGATGAGACCAAACTTGTATAATGACAAATTACTGACAAATCACCTCTGGCAGCCTTCGGCATACTTCGCCAAGTCACTAGCTCCCCGCCCTGACATAGCTCCATCACTAAGTAAACAAAGTGCTCATCCTCAAAGGTCTCATGCAGATTCACAACCTCAGTAGCACAACTTCTGCTGTAATCAAACCTTCTGCGGTCCAAGCTCGTGGGGACTGTCGATGGAACTGTAAAGAAGGAGCCTCACTAACCTGCACGAGTTAATGACCAGGATTTGGTCCCTAGGTTCCACTTCTCTATAAAAATTACTAAAAATGTATGCACAAAATGCCTAAGGATTCACAAGCAGATAATTGGTACAGTATATGTGTATATATATATATATTCTTTTTTTATAGCTGTGAAAGTGCACATTGCACTGCAATAACTACAACGGAAGCATGGGCTGCGTAGGCACCCTGCCATCTCGGAAAAGTGCTGCAGCAAGCAACAAAGAAAGAGGGAAGAATTGTTGGGCTGCTCATTTCTGGCGGAAACAAACTAACAAAATCTGAAGGAATCTGCATACCGGACTGACTGAGCTGTTGTGTGCCTGGTGTCAGGTCAGCCTGAACCTGAATTGGAAGCCCCAGACACGTGCTGTGGGTGTTGAACACGTCGCATAAGTGCCACCTCCAGATTACACAAGATTCAGTGATTTGCGCCGTGCTTCTGCCAAACACCACGGAAGTTCTCTCAGATTGTCTCCTTTCTGCCCCGAACACTGTCGCACTCTCAGACTGCAGAAACCCGACGCCTCCTGCTGCAGTCGTTCGGCAGTGCGTCGCCGCTTGGACTTGCTCTCGGGAAGCTTTGGGACCGACTGGGCCAAATGAAATCACTGGGGCATGCGCAAGGACATGGCAGCCGAAGGCAGCCAGTCAGCGGACAAGATTAACCGTGTATGATTTCAGGCTGCATATGCAGAGTTTCATCTAAAGCTCTTGAGGTACTAGACTTCGTCCAAGAAAAAGAATGTTGCAACAACTTTGCCTTATTGTTGGGGCTCGTCAATGCATTGTACACAATGTGATTGCCACATCTTGTCGGTCAAAAAACTTCTTTGGGCTCTCGCAGGCTGGCCCAGCTGACCCCGCCTTGATGGCATAGTGAGCGCCATCTGCTGAAGCGGCTTTGGTGACAAAACCAAAACCTCCAGCACCTGAACATGGTGGACACAGTGAGTCAGCTGAAAGCACTCACTCAACAAGTTTCGAGGACAAAGTGCTTCAGTATCCAAAACAAAGAGCTTGGTGAATATATAACTTAAGCAAAGCAGAAAAAGTGCTACTGGTTCAGCTGTAGGGCTCACTTTTGTGCCAACCTTGCTATAGGCATCCCAAACATTTCCTTTGGACTGGCCCGCCGACCAACGTTGAGATACCATGGCTCACAGTCCCGAGACACCGCTTGAAACTTGGACTTTCTTTAAGATAGAATCATGTAAACTGCCAGATCTGTACTGACTGTTGCGCTTAGGCTTCTAAACAAACTCAAAAAATGTCAATCCTAAGAATTGGACTTCAAAAAGAAGAACACCCCCCAGACCCTAGTGGGGTTGGTTCGCAAAGAGTTGCAATGCAGACCACCGTTGAGCAAGTCCAGCAGCTTGGGACAGAAGTCGGGAACTTTTCTTAGTTGCGCAAAGTTGGGAGAAACTGAAGCCTGACTAATCGCTAACCCTTTTGCCTACGCGGCTTCGTCTGGGTTGGGCAAGAATGCCTGGGAGCTCACAGCATGTTCTGAAGATGTTGCTGCAAGTGACTGGGGCTACACCAGGCATCCATCCCGCTCTGCGCGACTGGTTCACGCTGCCAAGTCCCTCTGTACAAGGAGGCGAACTCAAAAAGGGCAACGCCATTCGACCCAACAACCATCAAACACGCCTACCTATGAAATATTTTTTGGATATGTGTTCATGTCCGTGCGTGCAACCTGCTGGTACATGCAGGCATTGTATACGCTGAAGTCGGTTGCATATGATGTCTTCGACGCACCCGCACATTCAACAAACTCGAGTTAGGAACCACTGCATTCTGAGTTTTTTCCACCTGCAGTTGCAGTTAAACGGTTCATGACTAGATCCACGGCGCGGTCTACAATTTTGATCCTGTGCTCACTCAAATAAACGATTGACACTTATACATACATACAGTTCCATACGGCATATATACACACATCTATGTTTATAGATATATATATATACACATATCGATCTCTCTATCTATTTGTGTGCGTGGGCCAACGATGGACGACTTGGGTGCGCACTACAAGGTGAAGACTGGGTGACCCCTTGATTGTGCCTGGGAATCAGGAACCGCACGGCAAAGTGGATATGCCGAAGATCGATGGAGACGATTGAAATCCAAATTTCAAGAGGTTCATGGCATTCAGGCGTGGTGAAGCGATGTGAGAGGAGTGAGCTGAAATGCACACAGGAGAGATGCATGGCACAGTTCGAGGAGAGCCTTAAAGTGCTCAGGACATGAAAGAACGCAAGGAGATAAAAGAGAATACTGAGATCTCTCACGGTGGAAAAAAGATCCAGAAAGAGTTGTCATGAGTGGATCGCATGGCCTCACTTCACGCAGTGCTATGTCACACTAGATGGCGTGATAATGTACATTTGCTCGGTAGGTAAGTAGTTTCGGCATGTTTCGGCATATCTGGGCGGCTCTGCAATGCCGAGGACATCCCTGAACTCTGAAGCATGCGTGATGCAATTGCAAAGGTCTGAATGGACACAGGCGAGCTACTGCGCTGCTTCGCAAGCGCGAGTGAAACATCCCAGCTGCAACGCTGCCGTTCATTGCTCGCAGCTTTGACGAACAGGTCAAAGTCTCGAAGAGTCAAATGAGTCAAACAGGACATATAGTGTGCCAATTATCAATGTGTTGAAGATCTCTTCCACTTCACAGCCTAAGCACAGAACTTCGCAATTTGTTCTGGTGACATTGGCAATTATGCCACCCCTTCGAAATGGGTGAAACACTCATTCTACAGATCACTTGACGTAAGGCACTTCGCCCTCGGCGCTTTGGCTGTCGTGGGAGCGAGCAACGTCGGAACATCAAACATCCTTAATCCATCCACTGGGCTACACGCCCCTTGCAGTTTTCCTCCAAAGTATGCTGAAAAAGGTGCCAGGACCAAGGACAGTGTGGCCGACCTTACCGAGGACGAGTGCGTCGAAGGCATGAAAAGCTGCTGACTCAGCTGAGGCGTCCTACACCACCTGCACAATGGCATAGGAGACGAAGAGGCCCCCAGCCTGCAAGAAACCCATGAGACATGAAAACCCTCTCTCCTTCATCGCAAAAAGTCGTTTGACAGCAAGTGAATTCGACTCCAACATTTCGGATGCATTTTGTCAGCCAGAAAGAAATCTCTTGATCGCACGCTGCTCTGTTGCCCATGACTAGGTCCCAAGCGTCTGCCACTAGCTGCATGCCGACATCGTTGAAACACCTGGCCTGCAGTCTTGCGAAATGGACTGAAATGGACTGAACCTGTGCCTATTAATGTTTCTGCATTGCATTGCAGCACAATCCAAACCTGTGGCTTGTTCAAACGTCCACACAAAGCCTGCTCCAGCTCTGACATGAAACCTTGTGTGCCAGCGCCGACCTTGCATCGTGCAAGCTGGAATGTGAAAGCAACATGCAAAAACTCCTGCAACTGAGGCACTACGAGACCAAAAGCCAGCCACTTCACTAGGCTTGAGAAGACGTTGGTGCCTGCTTTGAAAACAACGGCATCTGGCCTTGGCGTCTGCATCAACAGGCCAGAACCAGCTTCGACAACAAGGGAATCAAGCTTCAACGCTTGCAGTTGCAACTCAGGCGTTCTTGTTGCACATCGAGCACATCATCAAAATGCATTGACTCAACTTCCAAGCAAACCAAGTGCACAACACTATTCAACAAACTCCAAGCCATCTGCAGCGTGAAAATGGTGATGATATCAACCAAATCCAAGAAGATCCCGATAGCCGCCTCAGGTGAGGTTACAGTAAGTAAGAATCTAGGACAACAGAAATGCTAGTAATGCTAGGCTGTGCAAGTGAGGGCGTCCGATGCAACATCCTTGGTTGCTGTAATCCTTTAATTTTATATATATATATATATATTTGTTCTTTTTTTCAGAGTTGACCTTGTCCAATCCTTCAAACCTTCAAACCTTCGCTGGTTCACAGCACGTTTACAAACTCTCGCGCAGGATGAGGCCCCCACAAGAATGTACGACCAGGCGGTTATTCGAGTGATCATTGTATTTGTCTTGCACACCTTCAGGCCACAGAAATTATATACTAAGTAGCCTCTTCAAGTCAAAGCAGTTGTCCTTTCGCTGAGCACTCACACTGGCGTCAGGCAAGTTCGGGAGATGTCAGCGAAGTCCCGGCACCAGTTGGGATCACCGCCTAGGTGTCGTCAAATCGCACCAAAAAGAATAGGAAAAAGAAGGTAAGGCCCCCTTTGACAAGGCCTTTACCTAAACCCGGACCGCATCGAAGGAGGCCCTATCTTTGTTTCTATAGCAACGGTGGGAATGATCTTAGCCTCCGGCATGTCGTCAACCCATCCTGACAATACAGGCCCACAATGGGTGAGCGTGAGCCTGACGGGACAAAGCATGCCTCTGCACATTCTCGTGCCAAGGACACAAGTGTCTCCCCTAACAATAATTCGAGGCTGGCGCAGAAGTAACCAGGTGGACAGCAGGGGTCCCAGCCTCAGGACTGCTTTGCGAGTTAATCGAAGCAAAGCTGCCGGAAGACCGAGAGTTCCCTTTTTGGGTTCAAGGCATTTGTCCTCTATTGCATTGGAGCAGTCGTCCAGCGTACTTCCTTTGGCGGTCGCATGAGTGGGACAAATCCGGGACGACACTGGCAGAAAAAGAATAGAGCCTGCATGGCCCTGCAACCTGCTTCAACATCAAGAGTCATCAAGGCAACAGGCAAACAAAGTCACAAAGCAAACATCAAGAAAAAACACGCGTTGGTGAACAACAAAACTGTCCAACCATTGAACTCGGAGGCGAGATTGAAAAGGTGCTTTGCTTAACCTGGCCTGACCCGGTCTATGTGCATGTAGAAATAGATATGCCTCTCTATATGATATGCGCATATTTGTCGGAAGCAATGTTAAGCCAAGTGTCTTATGCAAGGCAAATTTTCAGACCGCAGTTCACCCCGATAGTTTTCAGTCCTCAGCTCGCCAAAAATGCACTACGGGAAAAAGAGGCAGCTGTGAGCTGTCAAAGGCAAACAAGTAAGTTGAGCACAACTGGTCCATGAACTGCTCGAACACAAAGGCAAATGTGAAGGAAGTAATGGCAGTTGCCAAGCACATACCTGCCCCAGACAAAGCCCAAGAACCAGAGCATCAGAACACACATATTTCGTGCCAATTTGCTTGACAAGACAGTGGGCACCTGTCACAAAGATTTGAATCACTGCCCGGGTGCTGCATCGTTTCGCCATGGAGCCCACCTGCTCGGCACGATGATCACGCGCCACAACCGTCTGGGATTCCACACCACGACACGCCTTGTGGTGCCGCCCCTGAAAGCCGCACCCGCTATGAAACACTGAGCCCAAAGCTGCAAAACCATAGGCCATGGAGAAAACCAAAGCATGTTGCTAAGCATCTCTTCCTGATGCATCACACACACACACACACATATATATATATATAAATACATGTCATTTGAGAAGCAAGTTCTTCACGCGAGAGCGCGGCATCGGTGTGGTACAGACTGTGCTGGTGGCACGTTAGGTAGGCAGCGGCAACTGTCTGTGGCCGTTCAGTCTGCGAAAACTCGCCTTTGCAGGCATGAAGATTCTTGCAAACGTCTTGCTGGCCCAGGACGCAAAGCTTTAAGCTTGACAATCTCGTAGCCATTGAAAGTACAGGAGCTGACATGACATCAAGACTTGAGCTGGCAAACCGATATGCAAGTCTGACAGGCACAATGCAAGTGCCCTCCACATCAAAGCATGGCTGTGGATCAGCCAAATCCCCACTACCTGGTTGACCCCTCAAAAATGAACCCACAGCTGCATTTACATACACCTGCACCAGGTCAAACATCAAAGCCCAACGAGGCAGCATCGTTGATGTCAAGCACTACCTGCCCTTTCAGAATTCCATTCAAACAGTTGGCGGGTTTCCAGCTACGGACACCAAATTGATGCAGTAGCGATTTCCTTGGAAGTCCTTGGAATGAAAACAGAAAGGTTCCAAGTTCCAATATGTTTGCTTCACCAGCGGCGCTCTTGCAGCTGCAGTACAGAACGCAATGGGGATGAGGCAGGGTCTTGCTCTCATGTCGCCCAATTGAAGAATGAGGCTTCCAATTTCCAATGATTTTGAAATCCGTATAACTGCCATATGACAGCACCAAAATGCCATTTGCGTCCAAGTTGCAGGAATGTTGTGGCCAAGGTGAGTGCCGTCAATTGAAACACATTCACCACCAGGCAAGCAGCGAACATTTTCCCAAATCACCTCCTTGCATCGTGGATCAGGGGTAGCACCCCGCGAGAATGAAACATTGACAATCGATGTTTAAAAGAGCGTGATGCGAGGTGCATAGAACGCATTGACTGAATTGTTGGGGTCTATGGTCCCGATCACTCCTCATCCCGGAATGATGGCCATCCATGCACGAACGACTCCTCCAAGGAACCCTTTCTGAATGGCATTGTCAATCGGTCCAGATCCGACCAAAATCGAAAACAAATTGATATCAGGAACCCCTGCAGACTGCTGAACAGGAATGACTGACTCGTCTCTTGTCTGGCCTTCTCAAACTCCTTCCAGGTCCTGCCTTTGGGTGCCACGAACAAAGGTTTTCCTGACACTGAGTCGTAGAAAGTTTCGCCCTGGCAGCTCAGGACGAATCCATGGCGGCGTGCCATGAATCACTAAACGGATTAGAAAAAACACCTATATAATTGAATGATGCAAACCAGTTCAGCGTCGGCCTCACGGTTAACTTGCTTGAGGAATTTGGTCGTACTCCAGTACCCAGCATACTCTGCAAAGTGACGATTGTATGAGCAAATCCTGGCAAATCACATCTGCTCTCCACGATGAAACGGAAAATTTCAGCATGCCTGCAATCTGCGGTTTTGTTAGTACAACATCCTATAAGATTCTATTGTCTGTATCTGCAACCGTCTGGTTTAACAATGTCATTGTTAGCATTTTCCTGGCCTGTCCGCAGTCCCGCGATCAACGTCCCACCGCAACACTTCCTCCACAAACAACGTGCTGCATTCACAGGGTGGGTCACTTACTGTTTGCCAAACAATATGGAGCCTTTGTGGCATGGAGTCCTGGACTGGGTACTCAGTCGTTCCGTGAGCCTTCTGCTTCATCAGTTCTTCATTTCCTCCCCGGAACCCCGAAACGCATGTCGGACAACAGTCCCACACAAGACTCATAGCCAATTCAAGGCACCTTGCACTGGATAAGACTCTGCCTGCGAGATCTTTTCTAAGATAAAACAGTCGCCCACACCACAGTATCTTCCAAACAAATAGGATATGCGGGAGGGAAACGCCTTGGCAGGTTGCACGCGGAAGCGCAAAGCTGCCAAAGCAGCAGCCACAAAACCAAGGCCCCACCAACGACGTGGGCGCACCTGACATGGTAGCAGCGTAACGGACACCTCACATGAAAAATTAAAGTGATCCAAGTCCCACCTGCCTGCTCTTCAGAACTGTCCGCGCCTGCATTAAAGCCGCACAAGACACATCAGCTGGGGCAGCTGTTGCAGGCGTGTCCCTGTTTCAACTCGATATGTTGCCTGCTTGCTTTCCCGCACTGCGGAGGTAGGTTTGTTGCCGCCGCCCATGAGATGCAGTTCCAACATTGAGCGGCCTGCAGCAGAAACTCTGAAGACCATGCGTTTGTTTCATGTGATTTGGTTTCAAATTTCACGCATGGTCTCATGGGCGCGGTTCAAACGAAGCTGTTGGGGTCATTGGCACCTGCTCAAGACCATTCTGCACAGAAAAGAAGTTTAAAAACGCCACCACACACACCAGGCGACCAAGGAAACCTTTTTGCATGGTGCATGCGGGTGGAAAATTTTGATGAAATACCCGCCGTCCAGCAACTCTACACAGCCCAACGCGCAGTGCGGCGGGTGCAACAAGGAATGTGACAAAAACAGGCGAGATTTTCTGAAGCAGTGGTGACGTGCGGCGAGCAAGCGAGGCTGGCGGCGCCGGAGGCGCTAACCAAACAGAACAGGACGCATGGGCCGGGGTCAGCTACACAAAATTCGGCTCGCCAGCACGGGGGCCTGCAAGCGAAGAGGGGCGCTTTCCGATCAGCCGGGGCGAGGAAGCTGGGCACGAAGGTGGAGGTGGAAGGGCGGCAGCCGCGGCGGCGGCGTGGCAAACGAGCATCGGGGGGCAGCCTCAAGCCAAGAGCGTCCGCACGGGCACAGGGGCGCCGGCCGGGAGAGCGTCGGGAGGGAGTGCTGTCGGAGATGGCGACGGGGGTGGCGGACAGGGTGGTCACGACGGTCAAAAATCCTGTGACGATGTGTCACAAAGTCTGTTCACCTAACTTTTGATTGCCAATAGTTTTCTACTTTTACAAAATAAGGTTACAATCTTAGCACGCTAAGAGCGTCCACTGGTTTCTTAGCAGCAGAGCCGGTGAACCATTACCTGCTGGTCCATGTATAGCTTTACTCTTGATTTTCCTGTGCGGCTGTTTGTCAAGTTTACTTGTTTTTTAATTACGACGCAAACCAGACAACAAGAAGCAACCAAACACAGCAAGTCTGACATGCACATCACGGGTTTCACGTTTAAACGTTCACGCCAACACTGCGGTCTCTCTTTTTTCTGTGTGCACAGGGGAGTCGATCCAGTGGTCCCGTCTTCACCCCTTAAAGCCGACCACTCCTTCGAACAACCCAAGACTGACCTCCAATCTCGACTGGTCTGGCACCAAGAGACAGGAGCAAATCAAACTTCAGGCGACTGGGATCATGAGCTAGATTTGAAGCGGAAGGTACCCTGGCGTACCAAGACTTCAGTTGTAGCTGAAACTCTAAATCCACATATTGTTGAACCAAGTGATCTGCTATAGCCGTGGCGCCGAGGTCCAAGTACCAAACAACCTGCAAGCCTCTCATACGAGCCCCCAGCTTGATGGCAATCAAGACTGGCAGCACTTCCATTTCGTAGATCGGGTTTTTGGACAATTCGAGGAAGACAGACATGGCCTCTGGAGGCACAAGACATCCAAAGAATTCTACACAAGTCCCTGATGGAGAGACAAGCACACCACCCACGCTCCCCACTTTTCTATCGGATCCTTCGCACGTCCCATCTGTAAAAACTATCCAAGATGTCAAATAAGAACGAGTTATCTTAGGGGGGGGCGCTTGAAGAACTCTGTCTCGAAGAAATTTCAGGTCGCGCAACTCTTCGGTACTCAAGTCGTTGGCTTTTCTGCGCTTCAATGCAAGTTGGCCCAGGGTTTGCACTGCTTTGTTAGCTACTCTGCCAAAAGTGAAAGACTCAAACCAGTGCATTCTGCCTCTCAAACTCTCAGCCTGCTTTGAGCTCACCTTTTTTCCTGCGAGTAAGTCTTGCAAAACAGGCCCTAGTTCTTGCTTTCTTTCTTCCGTATGTCCAATGTAAACGGCACCTTGCTCAAACTCCTCTAGGTTTATTTGCACGCCAAAAGTTTTGAAATGCTTAGAAAACTCCGTAGCTTTGTACCCTTCTTTTGCAAACTCTATACCCAGAAGGTCAAACAACAAAGCCAGCGTTCCTGGCCTAGGAAGCCTTACTTATCAGTGTGTAGTCATCAAAGTATGCGCACCAGGGAAGTTTCAAGCCCATCAGGCCTATGTATCAGACAGCCATACTTACTCTTAGGAAGCCTCACAGACCCCGCGGCCCCGCTGTCAATGTCCCTCACAACCAGCCTAATCAGGTCTCGGTCTTCCTAACTCCATACTGTTTGTAAGCAGACTTCAAATCAAGTGCGTCCAAGCATGTCTGCCTTCAAGCCACAAGTTTCTGCGTAGTCTAGGCACCTAGCTATGTAGGCAGCTATTTTGTCAATGGCATGAACGCGGTACTTCTCAACAACTCCGACAGTGGAATTAATTCCCCCCACAGTGCAGTCGTCGATCATTCTAATTTTTGTTCTTCTGGACAAGTCCGAAACGCTTGGCTAATGCCACTTCCTCAAGCTTCGACTCATCGTCGAACCACACATAGCCCTTGTCTATTTCATCCAAAGTCAGCTTCCATGCTTGCTGATTTACCTCATCTAGGTCATTCAGCTCGTCGACCTGTCGCTTGATGTTCTGGTTCAAGCCTCTCCCAAGCATCTTTAAAGTTTCGACATCATACTGGGGTCTCTTGGTTTTAACCGGCAAAACGTTGGACTTGTCCAACCAACTTGTCAGCGGAAACCCTTTCGCGATATCTTCAACTAG